CTTCTTTTTCTGTTCTGCTTTGGATTGTTTTTCCTTGAGGCGAGGGTCTATCAGAAACAGTCTCTCTACAGTACTGGTTATGTTGTTGTTGTTGTTGATTTGTCTAATGGCATTAGAATTAAACGGATTCTGAATAAGACACAGTATATATAGACGATTCATATAGCAGACGTTGTAGTTCATTGATATTGTTTTACATGATCACAAAAAAAAGACGAGATTTTTATATAGGAAATCTTGAAATTGCAGTTGTATGATTTCGGGAAAAGAGTATGGACAGTCAAAAGAGAAGAGTTTGCGGAAGGTAAGAAGGACCTCATCGATCCACTCAAGTTACTAGAGGAAGCTGCACTGGGAGATAAGCCTTACTTCGGAGGGGAAAGTTTTGGTTTCGTGGATATCGCCCTGATTGGATTCTACAGCTGGTTTTATACGTACGAGACCATTTGTAACTTCAGCATAGAGGCTGAGTGCCCGAAGATTGCTGCTTGGGGCAAGAGATGCATGAAGAGGGAGAGTGTCTCGAAATCTCTACCTGACTCTCATAAGATCTATGAGGTAGTAATTGAATATAGAAAGAAATCTGGATTAGATTAAACATGTTTCATTTGCTTCATAATACACGAAAGGCACTTAGTTCTGCCTTGTCGAAAAATAGTTTCAGAGTTGAAGGAATGAAGACAATCGCCAAGCGTTGGCTTGTGGAGTGTCAGTATTGTCTGTGTAGTTCTGCTGTTGCTTCTTCTTGGACATCAAGATATGAATAATATAAACAGATGTTGTTGTTCTTCCTAATCGTAATTCCTGTTATCGTATTTTTTAACTTCAAATGATCGAGATGAAAGGAAGTTTCTTGCCTAAGACTCTTCAGGTTGATCTAGAGACATCATTCCCGACCATAAACATGTCGTTGTACCTTGCATTATCTGACAGATCAGGTAGTGAAGCAGGATCAAGTTCAAAAGACTCGTTTATCGTTTCTGTCAACTTAAAGGAGGGAACTTTATGAGAAAATCTGTGTAATTCATTTGCTGGTATCAGAAATGAGTCATTTCCACGACGTCTCCTTTCAAAAATGCTGATGAATCCACTGACTTTATCCAGATAACTAACACTTATACCAACATCATCAACGAAATCAGAAAGTACCTCTACGATCTCATACTTAAGCTGTCGTTGATGGTTTTCTAGTAGTTCAGAGCTCCAAACAGCCCAAGTCTCACCTTTCGTAGGATATATCAGATAATAACCATGATCATCTCTTTCACATTTCACTTGATGAGAGAATATAAGGTGTTCTGAGACGTCTAGTGAGCTTCCGAGTCTAAATCTACCACAACTAACCTGTAACTCATGATTTGTGAAATGATCTTCTTCTGCATTAGCCTCTAACCAGACCATTTGTAACTTAAATTTGGGAGTAAAAACCTTTTCAATTCGCGCGTAGAGTCTAGGCATACCATCTAAATCATCATAACACGCCCAAATTTGATCAACGTCAAAACCTTCTATGTTTTTCCCCTTATCAAAGTCGTGAAATTTAGCACGAGGACAGTCACATACTTGTGTGATACCTTTATGATCTGTCTCCGATTCTGGTTCAGAGTCATCACGAACAATCATATCAGAACAAATTATCGCCAATTCAGCATTGCTTGTATCAACAGCCATGCTATATTCCAAAGATTTTCCTGCCTTTGGCCTTTTGAATGGGTTGTTAAACTCCACCAACATTGTCCTCTCTCTTTTCCAGCTTATTTTCCTCGAATCACATCCTCGTGTACTCAACTGACTCGTAGAATCCAGCTGCATTTTATTGAACAACATAGCAGAATCAAGTTCTTCCTCTCGCACTTTCATTTCATTCTCTCGTGTCTTCAATCTTTCTTCCTTGGAATCGAGCTCATTAGCTAGCTCGTAAAATTTGTTCTCTTTCATATCAATCTCCTTAAGCCTTCCTTCGATCACATTCTCAAATACCTCAAGCATACCACGAATCGACATCTCTTTCTCCTCTCTCATTTTCAAGTCCTCAATATATTCTGAAATCTGTCTTTCTTTATCCTCAACTTCAACACGTTTCGCGTTAAGTGATTCTCTAACTAACTCAAGTTCCTTTAAGCTTTCACCTATTGATTCTTGAATAGAACACAGATGCTTCTCTCTGGATTCGAGTTCATTGAAGCATTCTTTCAACCTTGTTCCGGTTAAATCCAAGTGTTGTTCGAAACATTTCCACTCTAACATCAACGTTAAAAGACCTCGACGGAGGCCAATCTTCTTGTTTTCAATCTCTTCCATATCATCAGAAATCCTCTTCAACAAAACCATCTTTTAACTTGCAAGTTTTTTTCTTATGATGTTTACAATGTTAGTTCATCATTTGGAGAATTAGAGTTTCTTTTTAAAAAAAGCATAAACTTTTACAACACATTCAAAGAGTGTTAAGTGAAAATCAGAAGCAAGATGCTTGTGTTTGGTACTTGTAAAGTACTATGCTCATCCTGGCCCTTCAATTACCTCTCTGTGTGGATGGCTGTTACGCAATGTTTCATAATGTATTATATTGTATTGTTGTATATTGTTTTAATGAATACTGGATAGATTGTATTATTTTTTGTCGCTACATAATATCACATTTGAAGGATAAACCTATTAAATAAAAAGTAGGGTAACAGAGTAAAACTACTATAAAAAAAGTAGAGAAAATGATAAAATAGGATTGTTAAATAATAAATATAAGACAATTTTTTTAAAAAAATAAGGTAAAAACGTGATAGATTGTGATATGGGCTAAGTGTTAATGTTCTATCTCTACAATAACACCAAATAACAACTACACCTCAATCCGAAGCAAGTTAGGATCGACTATATTAATCTGCTCCATTTAAGCTCGTCTTAGTCCAATATAAACCAACAAGAGCACCACAAAGTTGGGACATTCAATAAAATTAAAAGGTATCCACAACTCTTGTATTCCTTTGCCTAGCCAAGACAAAACTATGAGAATATTTTGCTTCATCAATCTAGGCAAACTGGCCTACAATTGCAAAATAATTTAATCAGATACATCCTCTGTCTCTTTACTTGTCTTGACTGAAAATGACATCCTTATAAATACTATACACCGATAACGTAAAGAATCTTTACACTATCAGTATAATTCAACACGTTATAACATGATCACACTCATTTTACTTGATAATACGAAAAATAACATATATATTGCCAATGCATAAAACTTACAACTCTTTTAAATATCGCACGACCTGATCTGCTAGTCGCTATCTAACAGACTGATTTTAGTTAATACATAAGCTAAAATACAAGAATTCAGCATGTAACGCGGAGTAAGCAAGCTACCTTTATGTAAAAACCGAGGAAAATAAAGAACGTCAAGTAGAAAGGAACAAGGTCTTACGGCACAATCACTTGAATACATAAGCTAAAATATATACAAGAATCCAGCAACAATATATTCATATCACAAGCAAAACTATCACCAAAATTAAACTAGTTAAAAAAAGTTCAAATATGTTATCGCACATTGAAAAAATGTTCTATCTTCTTTTCTCTTGTATTCCCTAGCCTAGCCCAGACAAAATTCTGAAAATCTTGGTTTCATCAATCTAGGCAAACAGGCCTACAATTACAAAATAATTTAATCAAATACATCCTCTTGTCACTTTACTTGTCTTGACTGAAAATAACGTCCTTATAAATACTATACACCGATTACGTAAAGAATCTTTATACTATCAGTACAATTTAACACGTTATAACATGATCACGATGTACTGTCAATACATAAACTGAAATACAAGAATTCAGCACGTAACGCAGAGTAAGCAAGCTACCTTTATGTAAAAATCGAGGAAAATAAAGAACGTCAAGTAGAAAGGAACAAGGTCTTACGGCACAATCACTTGAATACATAAGCTAAAATACAAGAATCCAGCACTTAACAATATATTTATATCACAAGATAGAAATTTTTTTCGATTAGTCGAAACTTTTGTTAATTTATGAGTTTTCTTGATCAAACAATGGCAAATGAAGAGGTGATTTTATTGGACTTTTGGCCTAGCATGTATGGCATGAGAGTTAGGGTAGCACTAGCTGAAAAAGATTATTGCATGGATGAAAAGATGCATAAAAAGGGTAAGTGTCTCCAAATATGTTGTTGAACCTCTTAAGGTTTATGACTTTGCTTTGCAAATTAGAAAGCATTATGGAATAGTGTAGATGAATCAATTTGGAGGATTTCAGAACTTTTGTCTATTCTGATATCATGTTTTAATATGTGAACTAGGACTACTTATCATTCCGTTCTGCTGGATTTTGAATGTTGTCGGTTAGACTTATCAGTTATCGATTTGACTTAAAAGATTATCATGTTAGGCAACTTAAGTTTAAGTATAAAACCAAATAATCATCAAGATAACTTGCTTAAAAGACTAAACTTCTATCATACTTGTAAAAATAAGATTGGATGCAATACAACTTTGAGTATCTACCACAACATGAGATTGGATGCAATACAACTTTGAGTATCTACAACAACATACTTGGTGTAATTCCACAAGTGCGGTCTGGAGAGAGTGGTGTGTACACAGATGACAGACATTTACCCCTTCCAAGGTTGACAGATTCTTTACGAAAGATCTTCGGCTCAAATAAGGAGAAAAAATTATGTGGTGAATGAAGTGATAACTCTTGATTTAAAGCAAGAAAAACTCAACCTTACAAAAGAAAATTGTCTCAAGAACAACTAAATTCCACCAACAGCTATACACTCTAATAAATCTGGAATCTGTTTTAACATATCAACAGTCAGCAATCATCGATGTCTATGTCGAACCAAAAGAATGTCAGTGTCCCAACCTTTACGCGTAAAAAGAATATAAGGGATCCTCTATATCATACATCATTATAGCTGTTTCCCTTTCTTGTGCTCCAATGTCTCGAATTCAAAAGCAGCAGATATAACCAGAGAATATCACCATGTTTAACTTTATCTTCTTCTAAAGCAGCAAATGTGTTGCAGTATTCAATAATGCATCAATTTTCAGAATGAACCAACCCCTCCTTGCCCGGAAAAAAAAGACATACTGGAATTTGCAGAATTTTCTGCTCCTTTAATTGCAAGACCTCAGAATAGACTGCAAGACTGCTCTTCAGATAGATCTACGCATTGGACGTTGAAGATGATACTAAAGGTATAGATGAAGTAGCTTGAGACTCGTCTGAGCTTACTCGGGTAGCTTCCTTCTTTAGCTTGTGGCTGTTATATGCAGCTACACCTGCAATAGCTGCAGAAAACATCTTTTCTATATTACTATGCGGTCACAAAATAGTACCATCAATATTTATATTTATCATCATATATGCAGTACGAGAAAAGATTAGGATTTCTCCAAGTCTAACATGAAGCTCTTGGTAGTGTTTATTAATTATTAGTCCTCTCAATGTATTCACCAAGAACAATAATGTCATTACTGAGGTCTATAACCATCAGTTGTATCAGTCACAGGTTAGCTCTAATGTAGTAGTTACGATTATATCACTCCCACAAAATGCCAACACTGGACAAATTAAAGCAGTTGCGATAAAATATAGAAAGATGTTCCCCGAGGACTAGAGGCAGCATTGGTTCAATTACACAAATCAATAGAGACAAAGCAACGGGATAATCCAGTTACCGGGCACAGAAAATGAGCCAAAGGAAGAAATAGATGATGAATATTTTGCAAAGCAGCACATCTCAATGATGTAGAATGAATGCAAGGAAAATGGCTGGAAATTAGTTAAATAGTTAAAAGTAAAATGTTTCTTGGCATCAGATAAGATTGTCAGAAAATTACCAATAGCATAACCACAAAGATTGATAAGTGTCAGCTTCGTATCAGCAAAAAGTAGTGCAGATAGCAGTACAACCACCCAGTCTTTGACAACTCCAGCAACACGAATTGTTAGGGCACTTGTATGTGAGATCACCAAGAAAACAGAGAGATTCAAGGCAAAGGTACATATACAATTTAGAGTTAGAACAAGAGGGTGAAAGGTCCATGTTAGTTGTTCGTCCATCTTTGGTTTCTCCAAAAAGATCCATGGAACTAAAAGGCAAAGAGCGCTGCATTGTGTAACAAGAGAGTTCCATTACATTGTCTTTTTATAATGTTAAAGCATAACATAATAACAAAATTCGAAAAACATCCCACATTCAGACAATAAATATACTTGCCTGCATGGGCTAACATAGTACATGACAGATACGGGGTTTAGCTTGAGGCCCTTCCGTTTTACCAGAATCTCCATAAATATGAGCCTTAAAGCTTCTCCAACAACACCTCCCATTTGGTAGATGACACCAACCCAGTTAATGTTTATTTCTCCATAAGAAGCTACTAGAACGCCAAAACTGATTACAGACATTATGAGAAGCATCCTGCAGCTCATCATTTCGAGTCCAGCTGCAACTCCAAGGATGAAGACAGCTACTGGCACTGCAGATGAGACCTAAAAATATGAAATCATATCCTGACACAAATGAACAAAGAGTATAGAGTAGTTGAGCAGGCCGTTCACCAGCCCAACATCTATAGTCTAAATATCAGGCATGAAACATCCTCTGACACTTCATCTATCAGCCTAAAACTGTACTGAAGTTTTACATACCTCTAACATCTATGAACTACAGAATATAAGACAACTCAATAGCAGAAATACTTACTGATTGCTTTCAACATCTGAGCAAACGAAACAGAAATATAAAGGTAAGCTGTGTTCCCAAGCCAAAGCGTCATAGCAAACATAGCGCCAATTGGGATGACCGAGCTAATGTATCTGCTTATTGAAATCTTAATTAGTCTTCAAAAAAGTCAAATGGACAAGAGTTGAGAAGGAAAAAGTAGTACAGGAACATAGTATTGCCTACTTCTGTTGTAAGGATTTTGAGCACAAATGCAAAAGATGTGATAAAATTGAGAGAATCAGCAACTTCAGGTAAGTTTCTAGTTTATACTAAAAGGTGAGGAAGAAAGGTTGATGCTAATTTTTTCCTTTATCTTGTTCATACATGTTTTGTTATTGATAACTATGCAGTTTAACTCACTATAGTAAGTTATCCAAACTAATCCATTTTATGACAAATTCGATGTCTGAATTAGCATAATTAGAAGGATGAGGATTGAAACAATGTGGCGCTCTGTCACTTAATGGAGCAACGTGTTGAGACAATAAATTCCTTTTCATCCTTCTAGGAATGATAATAAAAATATAGTTTTAATGAGAATTGAGAGGTATATATGTAACTTGTGCAATGCATAGCATAATTCTTCAAAGAAAGTGAACATCTCTAACCAATAAGCCAGGGAAGATGTGATGTACTGAACAGATAAACACTCACGTCTTGGCTTATCCAACTTCTAGGGCGGGCCAGGCCAACCAGGAGAAGAGAAATGAATTGCACCGAAAGAGGCAAAGCAATGAGATGGCAAAAGGCAGAGATTTACATAGATTTTGGTAGACAAAATCTAGCTAAATGAGCTTTCTTTACTGAAGAAAAGTCATAAAAGATACTACCTCCAGGCTCCATTCCACTTAATGTGGCAAGGTTCAGAGTAGTCAAAGTACTTTATTTTCAGTGTGAATTCGGAAATAGTTCTTCAAGATTTTGGAAATATAATTTAAGAAACTACATAAAAAGTACTAGAAGTCATAATGTAATCCCAATTCTTGAAGAGAACATGGTCAAAGAAGAAGCTCTCTCAAAATAGTAATGATACCACATAAATTGGAATAGACGGACTAATAGAATTCTTGGATATAAAACTTGCTATCGTAAACATTTAACATGACATTTTTTTCACATGCACTCACATGTCTAGAGTCATTCCTTCCTCAACCTTCATTATCTGCAAAGAAATGCCTAAATTAGCACCACTAGTTGCCCAAACAGTCGGTAAAAAGGAGAAAAATTCTTACCTTGAGAACTTTGGTAAGCACAAAACATAGTACTGAGGAGAAGACCATGTGAAGTAGTGTCAGCGCAAGAGGATACGGGAAGTTTATTTCTTTTGATGACAAAACCCACTGCAATGAACAAAATATTGCACATACGAAGGAGCAGAGAAATGTCAGACACGTGAACTATCTTAAAGCAACAACTGATAAGTGTAGTCCAAAGAAATCAAGCAAGATAAAAGCCAACAATGATGCATCTTTATCTCATTTTCATTTCATTGAAAGGGGGAAAAGCAAAGTATCAAGGTATCAGCCAAAGCATAGGACATACAGATTTCTCTTGACAATGTGGAGGAGCATACTTATTACACGATTGATCAGGTTTAAGGAAATTATCTGATCAAGATTGATAGTAGCATACCATATGCGTAACTTTAACAAATTTACCCCATCGTAGCCTTCTGCAGAACAAAATTTTGGAAAGGAAAAGAAAAGGGAACATAACATCTGCACCTTAATAATTTCCAATGAAAAATGTATTTAAATATCCAATAAATTTTTAACCAAATTGAAATTGGAGACAGAGCTCTCATTTTAATTGAGGGATTTGGCCATATTGGTATACAAATCATAAGCCCAAATTGTTTACACACATTTGGTTTTATTAAGAAAAAATTTGGATTTGAAACCATAAACTCAAACTAGAGGCGAATTGAGCAAAAACTCAAAACTGCAGAAGATTGAGCTCTTCTAGAGATTTACTTCAAAAGAAACTCGAGTAGATGTCTGTGAAGTCCCCAAAAACCAAGGTGTCTCCATCCAAACAGACCATAACAGACTTTAAATATTCATGAACTATCCTATGTTATGCATATGACCAAATAAGGACTTTGGATCTTAGATATGCAAAGAAGAAAAAATAAAATATATTGAACCAGACAATGGTTCCTTACATGATTACCTCGGAAATATATTCCTTTGATTAAGAACCTATTTGTACACATTGGTGCACCTCGAGCATCTTCTAATAAAAGCTGACCATTGATCAATGCTAAAAATCCTTATCCTTGAGTGTTTTAAAAATCCTTCTAATAAATCACCCCCATCACTTCAAATAGAGTACTCAAACTAATCAAATCACAAATTATAGGACAGTACTTGACTTCCACAATCTCCATTTGAGTAACATGAACCCAAAGTTGTTGAAGGAAAAGAAAGGAAAGAAAAGTGAGGTTCTAAATCATTGCACTCGCACTATGTCTATAAAGAATAAATTGGATATTGAAATCTAACTTTGTGCTTCATGTCGCACCAATGTGGTCTAGCAGCTAATGAAGCTCATGGGAAACTATACTTCGAATATCAGAAAATTCAAAAAGAGTTGAGGGATTTCCTACCATCGGATTAATGCCCTAAATTTTGGTGAACATTTTAACTCATACATGTAATGGTGGAAGGTTACAAGTATCCGGTGAAACAGTCAAGGTGCGACAACCTAACTAGACAGAACACTATAAAAAAGATTTTTTTGAAAAAAAATGTATATGCTTCATGTGTAAGAATGATCTCATTTACTAAATCCTGGAATTTACAAATACCCACCATAACAGGGTCATAAAAATGGACTTTTGACCTAACTCAATAGCTTATGAAGTGAGGATTGCCTAATACCATATAACGAGACAAACAACTCATCCCTCAACCAATATGGGACACTTAACACCCCTTCGCACTCCCAGGTTTACTAATTGGAGCGTGAACAACACAACAGGGAACCCAACATTGAGACACACAATTATAGGGAATGAGCCAACCCAAAAGCTAGCTTATGAGGTGAAAAATGTGCAATACCTAACCCACATCTCAACCAATGTGGAACACTTAACACCCCTTTGCACTCCCAGGTTTACTAATTGGAGCGTGAACAACATAAATGGAGCACAACATTGTGACACACAATAACATGGAATAGAGTCTGGCTCTGATACCATGAAAAGAGATATGCATTGGCCCTAACTCAACCCAAAAGATAGCTTACGAGGTGAAAATTGCACAATACCTAACCAATGTGAGAAACTTAACACAAGGAAATGGAGAAATTTATGTATATTTCAATCTATAGACAAGCTAAAATGCCCCTTCCCCATGAACGTAGATACCGCCCTAGAGGCTTTAACTTCAGTTAACAACTAGTATATCAAAATTCTCACTTACATTCTCAGTTTCTAGCTACCACCATTTGTCACTCTCTGAAATACCAAACCCAATGTTAACTAGACATCCTTAAAGCAACCCAATTTAATCAATCAATCAACAATTCGATCTCAAACTAATTCAGATAGGCTGTTTCAATCCCCTTATCTTTCTATTTTTTTTCATTTTCTTAAATTAGGTGTAGGGAAAGGGCTCAACAGTGAAAGTCCAGGTAACCAACCAACCGAGCTACTAAGATTCCTCTCAATCCCCTTATCCATTCAACATTAGATGATTTATCTTAGTTTGAAATATTTTTGCAAGAACAGTCAACATATTGCCACACTCATCTCTCTTTCTCTCTATATCCAAGCTAAGGACCATTTAAAACAAATGAACACATCAATTTAATGTTTCAATCCCCTTATCTTTTTTGTATCTAGGTAATTACAAAGTAGAGAATCGAACCCTCATCGACAAGATGTAAGTTCAGGTAGCCAACCAACTAAGCTACTAAAATTCTTCACTCGATTCAAGCTAAGGACAATTGAAACAAATGAAGACGAGAACCAATTTTAATGCTTTTTCACGTACCTTGTTGAAGAAGATCTGACCACTAGATAACGAAATATAGAGAAGTATGTATGCATAAGTTAATACACCTTCGCTCATCACTCTTCTCACTCGATCCGCCATTGAAATTCAGTCAACACACGCTCGCTCAGTGGCTGTAGCTGGACTGTATTTTTGTGTACATCAACTGTTTGTGAAAATGAAAAACAGAAGAAAAAAAAAGTGAGAACTGAGGGAAAAAGACGAACGCAGATATTTTGTTTGTTTTCCACTTTTCTATTATTTCCGATCCCAAAATAAGTGTCGATTTAGCTCATTTTATCTTAAATTAAGTGTTGATTTAGCTCATTTCAGATTTATTAAGACAAATAATAAAATCTAGAGAAAACTATTGAGAACATTTTTAAATTTGACGCGAATTATTAGTTTCAAACTCAAGCTATTGATAGTTTTAAAAATATCCTCTTTACTTGACTAACTGAATTTAAAGCCCGATTATGTGACAGATCGAGTGTTCTAAGGTGTTTTTAAGGTTATCAATAGTTCAAGAACAAAACTAATTATTTGCGCCAAGTTCAGAGTGTTTTCAATATTTTTCTCTAAAAATTAAGATGTTAATTAGATAGCGTTAGGTCATAAATATCCAAATATTTTTGGCAAGTCAATTTTAGATAAAGTTTTAACATGGATTTACCTTTTAAGAAATATAATTTGTTTTCTTAAAATAAATTATGAAATATGATTTATATTCATAAATTTTTAAAAATACTAGAAATATTTGTATGTTTGATATAAAATTATTATTTTATAGTAAATTAAATTATATATTTTCTAAAAATCATAATACAATATCTTAATAAAAATTAAATTACACAATTACCTCAAAAAAGATACAAGCATAAGTGGCCCTAGAGAATTCTTTTTTGGGAATTTCACACAAATCCCACAATGTTAAGAGCTAATTACGTCTTAGCTCTACTCTTTTTCAAATTACATAAGTGGCCCTAGTGAATCTTGAAATATTTCAAAACGTCTTGATTTTGGATACACCCTTCAAAGTCTCGATACATTGTGTCTTAGTTTTCAATACATCTCTCAATATCTTGATACATTGCGTAAAGTGATGTATCTGACTGATACATCGATATCGCTTAAAGTGGTGTATTCGAAAATAGGAGAGAGCGGGAATTTTTGTAATTTTTTTAAATTGTAAGATTTTTTTGAGAATATGATAAAAATAAGTTGTGTATATATTTAGGTTTTTTTTTTCTTTTTTTAAGCACAATATGTAGAAATAGTTTAACGAGAGTTTTTTTTGGATAAATCCCCGAAATCCATCCACTACCTACATTTCAGGAAATTATGCACCACAAATAAGAGCTATGCAACAAACTCAACTTAGATAATATAAAAAGAAATTTGATTTCATTGATCGACAGATTGAATAGATAGATTATGACTGTGACTTAAGTGTAACAAATAATGGATTTAGTGACTTTATTATCATAAAAGTAGTTTTACAATTTGGTGTTACGAAAAAATAAAGGGAACTTATATAAATCTCACTAGTTTAAGAGTTAATTATCTAGATACAATATTATGAATCTTATCGAATTTTGGTGCGTCCAGATACATTCGAATACATGTATCTCGGGATATATAAGGTCAAAATTAGGTGTAATTTGTTCTAAATACATGTGGAGTCGCATGTATATGTGATGCATAACAAATCTCACTTGTCACTCTCCTACAATATCATGTATCCCAGATACACGCGAACACACCAAAGACATACATCTCGCTTCGGTGTGATTCGAGTGAGATACATAACAAATCTCGTTCTCCTCCTTCCTTATTTTAGTTTGGTAATAAAAATACATGTATCTAGGTGTATATTCCTCAATATATGATATGAAGCTTTTAATTATTAGTAAGGTATATAATATTTTTAGAATATATATAATAGTATATATGATTGTGAAGTATATCTAATTATATAATGGAAAAATTACAGAAATCCGACCTTTTAGTTTACTTATTACCATTATCCCCTTTAAGTTTTACAAATCTCTAAAATCCCTCATTTTCGCCATCAAATTAGTGTATCTCGCGCATAGATTAATGTATCAACACTTATATTATTGTATCTCGCGCATCAGATTAGTGTATCATGTATAAAATGTAATGTATCTTACTTAACGATTAATGTATCTCGCGCATCAGATTAATGTATCAGCGCTTATATAATTGTATCCATTTGAGGGATTTCTGTAATTATAAACTTTTAAGGGATAGATTGTAATTTTGTCTTAAAAGTATGTGATTTCTGTAATTTGCCCTTATATAATTTCTTCAAAAATAATTTCCTCTGACCCATAATATCCCTGCGGGCCAAACTATTACCCATGCAGCCCATCCAATTACCATGTAATAGTTAATGCAAAATCCAAGGGTTATTTGCATTTTTGTTTTTATTTTGTGCTGATCTTTTATTTATGTTATTTTGTAATTTTTTTTTTTTTTTTATGTAATACATAAATTTATAGTACCATAATATATAGTGCAACTTTCACATATAGCAAACATAAAAATAATATTTGTATGTTATAACTATAGTTTGCATAATTGCGCTTAAATTTGCTATGGCTATTAATATGTATATTTCGATATACATATACAAAAGAAGCAATTGTATAATCTGTTTCAGTATATATATACGAAAGAATCAATTGCATAATCTGTGTTTGTATAAAACGAGAAAACGAGAAAGATAAAAGAAAACTGGGCAGTGGAAGATCTCTATTTGTATATTCATAAGTGTATAGGACGAAAATTTATGTATTTGTATTTGTATATACAATTTCTCTCGCTTTATTCAAACACAAAGGCAATTTATACATTTGTGTTTGTATAAAGTGAGAGAGGCGAGTGAGAGTGGCGAGCGAGATCTGAGAGAGGGGAGAGAGGGGAACGAAAATATATGTATATATACAATTTTCTCTCGCTTTATACAAACACAAACACATTTTATACATTTGTGTTTGTATAAAGTGAGAGAGGCGAGGAGAGATTGCCCAGCGAGAAACGAGAGTGGCGAGCGAGAAATTCAGGGAGAGAGGCGAAATGACAACAATTTGCTACGGGTTACAATTAAATCAAACTGTAGTTATAGCATATAATTTGAATTAATAATTTGCTATTTTATATAATTTTCCCTAATATATATCACAAGTTATAATTAGTCAGTGGTTTTAGTTTCTAAGTAATTTATGTCTTATATTTAAATAACAAAAACTGGTGCTTGAGATTATAAATGGTAATTGTCTTATATTTAAATAACAAAAAATGGTCCTTGAGATTATAAATGGTAATGACTAATGAGGATAAAGATAATTAAGATATAAATAATTTATCAAATAAAAAATTACAATTCATATTATATTTCTTGCAACTGAAAAGATGAAAATTCGAGTCTATAATCCAAAGACCTCAAGATATAATATGTATGGGTTCAACAAATTCTCGTGTACAAAGATGAAATATAATGAAATTTCTTTCAATCTGACAATATATACAAAATATGAGTGTGTATAAAATAATTTATTGTCATGTATGGCTATATAGTGATGTTTATATAAAAAATCTTAAAAGTACCAAAAATATTTGTAAGTAATTCTATTGAGTTCTATAATAATTGTGAGATCGCTTAACTTAAAGAAAAATCAATTCTGATATGAAAAATTGAAAATGATAAAAAAAATAATATGGTATCTAAGTGCAATCGGTGTACTTATATGTTTTGTTATTACTTTTCATGAGATAATATTTTGATTGTGAATTAATCTATAAGCAACATATAATTTTACTTTGACATGAAAATACTCAAGTAAATCATATATTGATATGAGTTTATTATTTCTAACAATTATTCTCAAGATTTTATTAGTTATTCTAACCATGGTATTATATGAAGTTCTTTCTGCAAATATTATAGTAATATGTGAGGATATTATTATCATATTTTACGAGACAATCATTTTTTGTTATTGATTCAAGTCATTTTTGTTATAAAATAGTGCCCCAACATAAAAGAGATGTGTATTTTTTATTGGAAAACAATTTTTCCATAATATTAAAGACATTACTATGTAATGCTCAGTTAAAATAAAAATATATCAATTGAGATGAAATAAAGTATATTTCACCAAAGTTTTTGTTCAATCACAATCTTCAACGCAATGGTGGAATAAATCATATTTTGATCGAACAATTCATCGAGGCATTGTCAATCTCAATTTTTGAGAAGTTCCACTTGATTTTTATGATAAGATTTTTAATGAGGTATCAAAAAATTAATGTGTATTATAATTTATATGCATACTCTCTTTTTTTACTAACTTTTTTTCTTAATATTTTTTTTTTCCTAATAAGATTTTAATCATGAGGCACACCATCTATAAACCTTTAAGGAATAGTATTATGAAATATATTATTTATGTGGATATCGACTAAATTACTTTCCCCAACTACTCTTCAGTATTACATTCCACCTACTCTATGATCTTTCTTTTTTATGTCATATATTAATTTATGATTCACTTCTATACGTCTCTATACAACACTATAAATAAAAGCATAAAAACTCATATATATTTGAACACTATAAATAAAAGCATAAAAACTCATATATATTTGAAAATACTTATCAGTCTTGTACTTCTCTACCTTCTTTGTCTAATTTCTTACTTCATATTGTCACTTTTCACTTCAATTTTATAATAAAAAATAATTTGAAAATAAATAAATACATGAAATTAGTTTATTACTTATTGTGAGTCTTTGTAAGTTGTATCTGTCTTTGGGCACTGGTTTCCTTTTCTTGTCACTATCTCCCCTCCCCCCACAATATTCATGAGCCACACCTTCTTAATGGCACCATGTTCATGTGTCACATCTATTGTTGGGCTAAGAAATTTCCCATCACAAAAGTCCAATTTAAAGATACTTCCTTCGTTTTATATTAATCGTTCACTTTCTTTTAAATTGGGGTGGAGAAAAAGACACGGGGAAGAGATTACAATGTAGGGAATCGAACCCTCACCAACAAGTGAGAGTTCAGATAGCTAACCAACTAGACTTCTAAGATTCTCCAAATGTCGGTATTTCTGACTTATCTTTTAAGAAACTTTTTTA